GGGTAACGATAGATACAAGGATGTAGTTTTAGAAATAAGCAGTTAAGAATAGATATCTGAGAGTTTTGATTCAGTTTTAGGAAGTTAACGATAGAACTAAAGGTTAAGATATAGATATAGGACATTGACGATACATATAAGGGTTAAGGACAATTATAGTAACTTGAATATAGAAGTAAGAGGTTACGAATAGGTATGAGGGATTCGAAATATAGGTAACTGAGGTTGTGCTTGAGTGTGGATGGATGAACGGAATCGTAGTGCCTGGAACGTAATAAGAAGCGAATGCATGGAAGCGTATTTTCAAGCAATGAAAGTAAAAGATGTGCACGAAACCCTGGGGATATGAAACTTTAACGGGTTTCGATTTCGTTTCAAAAATCGGAACTCTTTTGGGTTTCGTACGGTACCTTCTTTTTCAGTGTAGACAAACCTTAAAGAGTTATGGTGATCATCTTTAGATAGCTCTTGAAAAATTATAGGGATTAGCCTTAGTATATTTTAAATTAACTTTTATTTGATAAAGAATTCAAAATAAAATAATATTTTCTTCATTTCAATCACTTAATCACTTAATATTAATGAATTAAGTATTTCATAGAAAAAACTTAAGACTTAATGTTAAGTGTTAAGTGATAAATTAAAACTAAATTTTAAATTAATGTCAATGGTCCACTCCTAGGTGTGGGTATTGGTGTAGATGAAAAGACATGATCACCCACACATAACTAGCCGAGCGGTATAGCCTAAAGAAAAGTATTAAATTAAGCCTTAATATTGAATTGATTCTTCAATGCTGTGTGAATGAACGTGTGATTTATTAATAATTGAACATTGACAATCCAATTTGAACATATAATATGATCAACAAACTCAAATTTGGTGAATAATGTGATTTGTATTTTCTTAACTACATATAGCGCTAATATAATTGTAAAAAATTTCTATTGTGTCTGCTTCGATCAACGCTATTTATACTGATAAAAACAAAAAAAAATAGAATATGTGGGTGAATTGCGCTGGTATTGTACCGTTCGAAGGAAAAAATCGAAAAAAATAAAAGTGAATATGAAGAATATTTTAGCCGTGCGTTCGATAGAGCTCCATTGGTTGTATATAAACCAAGTATTTTCCCAACTATCAGTTTTTCATTTCGGAAAAAATCAAGTTTTATTGAGAAAAAGCAGTTTCCGAAGTTTTTTGACACAATCAAATAAATAGCTTTAGAAATACTTTGACAAAATAAAATCACTAAATGAGTATTTATATATTGTTATCATATGTCAATCGAAACGCTTTAAAAAGGAAAATCTAATGAGCATATGCAGAACCTTATCCACACATACACATGCATATCCTAAAGATGTGAGGGTGCGGATGACACCTTCACATTCTCATCTACACCCCATCTTATTCCATCCTCAGGCCTCTCGGTCATCTAATGTATGAAGAGTATTCAAGTCTGAGAGAAGTCGATTGAAGTCAAATAGGGTACAATTAAATTCTGTTTCGTCCAAATATCTATCATCTCAGTCTATCGTAATATTTTGATACAAAAAAACTCTGTTGTGACATATTTTGAGTAAAATAGTGTTTTCTTTCGAACACTACTTGCTTAAGAGCTAAAATTTTTACCACAAATACACTATATAGTCAACTAAAAAAACACCCAAATATCGTTGGCTAATCTCTTATAGTTACCAAGAAACCAAAGAAACAAAATAAAAAATCTGCTGTCACACTTACGAGGGAGCGTATGCAAGTGTAAAATCGCTTTTAAATCAGGAGTATGTTCGTCATGTAGGTCTTAGTGAGCTATGAATACCCTGAAAAAAGTTCGGGCTATTGGTTTATTGCTACCAAGATATTGTATTTTTGCGACATTTTTTATTAGAATGCCGTGGTTCCCCTCAAGACCCTCAAAAAACTAAGTTTCGAATTTCGATTTGAAACTTTGCGCAGAGATAGATCATAATGAGAAGAGTTTATTGTAAAAGTTTCAGATCATTTTATTCTTGCTATCCTAAGACAGGACTACGGTAACAGCACGTTTTTACTTCTCAATATACACCGATATATTCTTTCGTTCTTGTTTCATAATAGAAGGAATCAAAAAATCTGAAGCTTTCACAATAAACTATTCTCGTTATAGTCTACCACTGTGCAAAGTTTCAGGTCGAAATTCAAAACTTAGGTTTTCTGAGAGTCCTGATGGCGACCACCGCATTGTGATAAAAAAGAATACCGTAAAAATGTAATATCTCGGCAGCAATAAACCAACAGTCCGAACTTTTTTCAGGGTATTCATAGCTCACTAAGACCTACATGATGCGCCCACTTCTGACTCAAAGGCGATTTTACACTTGCATATGTTTCCTCGTTAGTAGAAAAATAGCTACCTTCTCTCGTATTTTTAGCTTTGTGAAACACGATCTAAAAGGGGTGCTGAAGCATATAGGGGTGAACATTTCTACCCCCTCCACACAGAATTAACTAGTCATAACTGAATATAATTAGTTACTCACTTTAATTAATGTTTTTCACGGAAAAATTGTCTTTTTTGTATAAAAATATGCTATGATTAGTATAATGCAAAGCAACTTCTAAACACAGTAGAAAAACGACAATATTTACCGAATTATTAATTAATACATTCGAAAAATCTCCTATTTTTGTAATTGAATCTTTAGTTAGTGCATGGTCTTGTGAAAGGACCGATGAACTTTTGTCCCGATATGAACTCATGTTGAGGATATGTGGGAGAGGGAAGTGTACATCTCCCCCCCCCCCCCAATAATTGAAAATTATTTATTCGTAGCCAACAAAACCAATAAACATTTTTTGAAATTTATGATAGAAATTCTGAGGGATGTTCAAGTTTTACGCTTCGCGAAAACGCGGCTACTACGTAAGTGTACTTGGCCTTAAGTTATCTTGATTTTTTCTGTTTTTTAGCGCAATTATACTTATGTCTTTCTTTTGAAGAGCTTCACTACCTAACAGCAGTCACTAGCGTGATCACCTTCGGCGACAAAACCTTTAAAAGCTATGGCAACACTTTTTCTTCTCGAACAGCACAGCAAAAAAATAGTTTTGGATGCGTCTGAGAAATGTTTTCGCTTCGCAAAAGAAGACAATTCTGTAATCGCAGTTAACTTCGATAAACTTCCTATTTTAGTCAATCTTTCCTTCGAAACAGCTTGATATAGAACAGATTTCGCCAGACTTGTCGTTTTCTACGACGACATTATTGAGAAACTTTTGTACATTGAAGTTGCTTTTTCTTCTTGAAAATTTGCCGGAAAAAGTCAAATTTTCCCAAAAGCTTGCGAAAAGTAGTTACCTTTTATGTCAACAAAGAAACATTAACATAAGATGTGATGCAAAAAAAAAATTGCGTCCCTCAATCGTTATTTCTTGAAATCTCCTCACATCTCCTCCAATCCTAGGACCCTCACGTGGAACCTTCATACACACTCACACCCAGTGCGTGGAGAGAAGCCCAACCATCACATCCTTGCAAGTAGTATAGGAAACACAAGGATCCTTCTATGATAATTTATGGACTTTTTAGAAATATTTTCACATCTCGAAATGCGCTCAATCATTGAGACAACGTCTATCGTGCAGACAAAAAACCAAATGGTCTATTTTTTTGGATTTGGGTATGGTTCGATTCTATTTTTCGTTTGAGACATGCCACAAATCATTATATCTATTGCAGATGAGTTTCACGGTTTAGATGTTCTAAATATCAATCGGGTTTGAAAATAGTTTCCAATTTAGTTTTACACATCACTGACGACAAAATAGTAGAACAACAGACAGAAATTTTAGAAAATGATGTCTATTATGCAGTGACCGGGACCATAGTAGCGATGCTTAAATTGCCTCGGTCTTGTCTCGGTACTAATAATTTTACTGGTAGTTTTTGTTGTGGAAGTTCGCAGTCAATTACTCCATGAATCACATTATCCAATCCACGGATTTGCTGAAGTCGATCGATGCGAATGCCAATTGTAAAATGCATAGGTAGCAGAATAACAGCTGTACAGGCCGCTGAAAAGACACAGGTAGTCAAAACGCCAGCGACTTGATACCACAACTGAACTGGATTGCCGTATAATGCACCATTCTTCACTTCACTGCTTACAACCGTCTGACAAAATAATCCGGTTAGGAGAGTTCCAATCAAACCACCCAAACCGTGACAGGTAAACACATCGAGGGAATCGTCAACGTGAAAAAATCGTTTTTTACCTAGAAGAAACAAGTAAATGATGCAGCCACCGATTAGACCTATTAACAGAGCGTAGCCGGGCTGAACGTAGCCAGCACCTGGTGTTATAACAACAAGTCCGACAACGGTAGCCGAACAGGTACCAGGAATCGACACAACACCAAGATTTTGGCCTGCCACTTTGCCAAATATAATATCGAGAATAATCCACATAATCATGCTCGATGCAGCAGCTATATTCGTGTTGACGATGGCTAATGAGGCAATACCTATAGAATGCAATATAATATTCATTACTGCCTTATGATTTTAGCAAGGATTCATACAATCATAAAATATCTCAAAAGAAGGGTTGTTCGTAAAGAAAAAAACAGGAACTTCGTGTGGATGGCGAAAAATAAAGTTCTTTGGACAAAACATTCTCTGATTGAAGTAACCTCTAATCCAACGACATTCTATATCGCCAGAAAAGTTTTTCAACAGCTTTAATCCGCTCAAATAGAAGAAAATATTCAACTAAGCATCCTTTTGTAAAACACGATCTAAAAGGAGTATTGATGTATATAGGGTAGGACTTTGGACCTACCCCTCTCTCCTCACAGACTGTGACAAACAAGCTATACTGTAAAGTAATCAATGATGAATAAATATGCCCCAATATACATAAAAAGATCAGTTTCTAGAGAATTAGCAACAACCGCTGCATCATTTTTCACATTTTAATCTCGAAGGAATTGCGCTAACAGCTTTTTTTTCTCTTTTATGGTTTTTTTCCAAAAACATCAAGAAGAATTACAGCAAGATATACTCGACCCCAATATTTCATACCGTTTGCGGCTACTGCCGATCCTCCGTTGAATCCCATCCAACCGACCCAGAGCATGCCAGTGCCCAACATAGTAAAGGGAAGATGTGTTTGACCTGTTTTCAGCACGTCCGGATCGAAGTGTGAACGTGAGCCCAAAATAATAGCGGCGACCAACCCCGATATACCACTGGCAAAATGAACAACTATACCGCCAGCAAAATCGATTGTACCCATTCGGTTGAGCCAACCTTGTCTGGAAAAGACCCATCTTGCCAATGGATCATAGCAAAATGTTGACCAGAGAAAAACGAATATCATGTACGGTATGAGTTTCATTCGACCAACTACAGAACCGCTGATCAATGCCGCCGTGATGATAGCAAATGCACATTGAAAGGAAACAAATGTTAATGATGGAATTGTTAGTGAGTTCATTGGATCTGAATTTTCACCATAGAAATTGTTAAGACCAAACGAACGTAGTACAGCGTAGTTGAACGAGCCGAATACTGAATTTCCTGGTCCAAAGGCGAACGAGTAACCGAAAAGACACCATTGAACTGGAATAATGGCCATACAGACAATGGATAGAAATATTTGATTTAAAAAGTTTTTGCTTTCAACAAGACCACCGTAGAAACAGGCCAAACCTGGTGTCATCATATACACTAAAGCGGTCGATGTCATCAACTAAATTGAAAGAAAGCATAGCGGTTCGAACAAATCGCCGGTAGAAATTTAAATGAATTATAATATGGTTTTCTAAAATCACTAGGCATGCGCTGATTAGTAGGTGATAGTTTGTGGAAATTGAACAGAAAAAAATGATCAAAGACTTGGTGCAAATAGCAACCTGTTTTTGTTCATTTGACACATTTTTGCATCCATGCGGATCAAATCATATATAGAATCAAAGATCTGAATGAAAGTCTGATCATAACATGGAAATGCACATGCATATTTTTCGTAATTCCGAAAAGAGCTATTAGGGTTTATATTTCATCACCATCCAACTACATTCACACTAAGACGAAACCTGATTATACGGAAGAAATTTTGTTTGAAGCAATTCGAAGGATCATAATGATTATTGACATGTGCCTAAATTCTATCATTTGAATGAACCAAAAATGAAGGCGGACGCTATAATTTCTGATATTCAAAATTTTTCTAGATAGTTTCTAGAATAACAAAACAGTCATACATGATTTTTGTGACACTAGAACAAAGCCAGAAAGAAAATAGTGAATATTATAGTCGTTGTATAGTTCTCTGTCTACCAGTCTCTTCTAATTCGCAGGAAATGCATGTAATTGACCTCGTATGATCAGACTCAAGGATCGATTGTATAGTACAACTTTGATACAGAAGTATGCCCAATGAGACCACCTATAGATCCTTCTCAACAACTCTCGTTTATCCTATTCGACTTCAGTTTTCGACGTTGAACCTGAGCCTGGCATTTATTCTCGGTTTAGAGTAAATGCAGTCGAATGTTCATGTGATATGAACCGCATCTTCGCTTTTCTGGTATTACGAATATATGCTTGTTTAGTTTTATCTTGAGCTCAGAATTTAAGAAAATCAAAGTTAATTAGTGAATTTTTGTATATTTTTCAAAGGAGTATATAATGAGCTAGAGGACAAGCTACGTCATCAGAGTGTTGCTCGAGAAAAGTAGGTTGAAAGGTCACAATGCACTAATGATGTATTCCACTTGGATGAATGTTGTCTCTGGTAAGAAGCAAGACAGTGTATTTAAAAGATGATTGAGACATGAAAATGGAATCTTGAGCGAGTATCTACCTTGCATTATTTTCAACTTTGTTGTTGTCATTTTGAAAGAAGATAAATATCGTACAAGTGCTTCATCTATCTCATAACTCACTCTTGATCGTTTGTACCCAACCGCAACTTTCAAACTCTTTGTTATTGGCTCCTGATCTTTCGACCTACTGAATTTCTCCCAATAATTTATTGCAATCTAACTCAAATAAATATCTTCGACTCACTCTTTGAATACATTCATCTTCAGTATTCGTAACCTGTTTGATGTCTAGTTTGTAATCGTAATCTGCGTCTATGAATGAGCCCTAGAAACCAAGAAAGCGAGTATTTTTTGTGGCACACGGTAAACCTTCTAAAACTCTTGTCCGTTATTTGTGAAAAGAAATTATTGTTACCCATGCATTGTCTCCAGGTATAAGCGTGCGGTTGTTCATTTTGTTGTGTATTGACGCAGAGATTAGAAAACGTATCTGTCACTCCGTTAACGAAGGAGTAATATATGGATGAGGAAGCAAATTCTGCATTTGTTATTTTATGCTGTATAGAAAAAGCTCTCTCCTTCTCGATTCAAAAGCGTTTCTGCCGTAACCATGGTTCTCTGGCTTGTTCGTCGCCTTCTCTCTGTTATTCTCGCCTAGTGTTATTTGGTGTTTCAACATAACGCATAAAGATAAAATGAATTTCTAATGATGCCCAGTTTTTTTCTTATAGGAAGATGGATATCCTGTTAGTGTGATGTTACAACAACAGTGTTCAATCAACTGCAAATTTTCTGGAATATCCATTCTTTGGGAGACAGGAAGCTGCTAAGAGCACAGTGTCGTTACTACCACTGTGAAACAACATGAAAAAAAGAGCGATAGTACAATGAGCAGGAAAATTGCAACAAGATGAAGCTCAGCGTGCCGTCTACCACCTCGACAGCTTTTTTCACAGATTTGCGCAAGACAATTTTGAATGACAAATAATTTCTCAGCAAAAACAATCTACAGTCCTCGTACGATTCGTATGTCAACTTTTAAATTTTGCAAATAGACAAAGATCATCAATTTTCTTCGACCTTTTCGAAAATGAGCCAATATTTAAACCAAAATAAATAAATTTGTATTCATTTGCTTTTACTAATCAAGTTACAATGTTAATACAAAACATTTTTTTTGTTAAAACTGGTAACTATATAATAAAGTTAAACAGAGACCAACATATTTGCTTAGAGTTTAAAATTATGATGGTAGTAAGCGAGAATGTGATATGACAAGATCGTCTACTGCTCACCTATATAACACTATCATCAAAATCAATTGAATCACTATTCGATGAACATGAATATATGCTTCTTAATACATGAAGGGATCAATGTTCCAGCATTTTTTTGATTTCATCAATACATTCATTTTTCGAGGTTGAAAGTGAGCCATCGGATTCTGTCTCAATTCGATGAATTCGATCGATTTCCGATTGTCGTAATCCAGTCGGTTCCTTC